TATATATATAGTCTTTATTAAGTTTAAGGTGAAGGACTGTTCACTAATAATGTTATATTTCTAGCCCTTATAATAATGTGGAGAGTTTCACAGGTTGGTTCTCACACACTTTCTTAAGACTCTCACAGTCTTTTTATTGTAAATACACACAACACTTACATCAACTGAAAAGATTTATTTTAAACACTCTGTGTGTGTGCGTGCGTGCGTGCGTGCGTGTGTGTGTGTGTGTGTGTGTGTATGTTGATTAACCACATCCTTTCACTGCAGCAGCAGATCACACCAACTGCAACATGGTTTGATTACACATGCATATGTAGCATTTATGAAGTAATGGAGGAAGGATGGTGACACTTGCTCCCCAACTTCACTACTCTTGTTTACTTATTTTGCACTCATAAAAATGGGGCACCAGCTTGTTCTTTATTGACCAACAAAACTTAATATATTCACTCTTTAATGATCAGAACTCCATTACTAAAGTAGAATGTGTTAATTACACGGAGTCCTGTAACATAACTGATGAATATATGGCCATATGAAGAAACTAAAGTTGTCTTTGAAATTTTATTTTAAAAAATGAACAATCAAACTAAGAATCAACAACTATAATGAACAATCTAAACAATAATTAATCACTCAAGGCTTAATTCTCTTTTATCTAAGGCAAAATTAACTCTTTGAGCAGTAATTATTTTGGTTTTGTGCACATATTTAGACAAAGTTTGACTATTTTGATGTTTAGTTTGATAGTTTGCTTTGGATTTTGGTTGAAATAAATTATTTAATGTGAGCAGATCAAGTCTTTATCATCACTGCAAGCCAGGAAATTATTTATCAAGTTGCATCAGCTAGACTAAGAGTTGCATTATGACCCCCGGTTTCGGCTCCTTACTGGGTCAGTTCAAGGGCACCAGTTCATTCAAGATAAAAATGAAACCTCTGAGTGGAAAAAAAAAAAAAAAAACGTACTGGTTTGCACAAGAAGAAGGCATTTATAAGAAGATGAGTGCTTCCTGCAGTCAGATATATAACCATCCAGCTTCAAAAAGGAATAGAAAAACTCTGACGGTTCAGTTTGAACTCAATTGACCCCGGTGAACAAAAAGTAGCTTCAATCATTGTATTATACAAACCAATGAGGTGCATGATGATGAACACATTGTGATTTGATCACTAATAAACTACATTGCTTGCACTCCCCAAAAACAGTTGCCACCAAAAAAAAAGGTCACACCCTAATATTTTGTTGGACCACCTTTGATTTGATTACAGCATGCATTTGCTGTGGCATTGTTTTGATAAGCTTCTGCAATGTCACAAGATCTATTTCCATCCAGTGTTGCATTAATTTTTCACCAAGATCTTACATTAATGACTAGGCACAAGGCATGATGGGTGCATCACTCCACCTGCCTCTTTTCTTACCCTGATGCGCACATCACTCTGAAACAGAGCAAATCTGGACTCATGAGACCACATGACCTTCTTCCATTGCTCCACAGTCCAATCTTTATGCTCCCTAGCAAATTGAAGCCCTTTTTTCCAGTTAGCCTCAGTGATTAGTGGTTTTCTTAAGGCTACACAGCTGTTCAGTCCCAATTCCTTGAGTTCCCTTCACATTGTGCATGTGGAAATGCTTTTACTTTCACTATTAAACATGGCCCTGAGTGCTACTGTTGTTTTTCTTCAATATGATTTCACCAAAAATTAAAGTGATCGTCAATCACGATCATTCAGAATATTTTCAGGCCACATTTCTTCCTCGAAGACGATGGGTCCCCTCTATCTTTCCAGGTTTTAATAACAAACCAATTTGTGAGCATGGACTTTGTTGGTTTTGAACCAGTTTGACATGACTGTCGACGAGGGAGAGGGAAGGTACCGGAGGAGGGTGTGTGCCAAAGAGACCATCTTAGCACCAACAAAACTGGTTTGTTCCACTTTGGCGTAAGCTGTTGGGGGAAGAATCAGTTTTGTGTTGTATGTTTCTTTGACTGATGAAGCCTTCTGGATGGAAGGTGAAATGTTTCAGCACACACAAAAAAAGAAACTGTCCAGATGACGTGACTGAAAATTGTTGGATTGTATACCTGGATTATTGAGCATGGACTTTGTTGTTTTTAATTATGTTTTGTGTTTTTATATTTTTATTGCATGTGCTATAATTATTATATCTTGTTACTTTTTATTTGATGGTGTGATCTTTTTGTAAAGCACTTTGATAACAGTTTCTGTTTTAAATCCATCCATCCATTTTCTTCTACTTATCCGGGGTTAGGTCGCGGGGGTAGCAGCCTAAGTAGGGAGGCCCAGACTTCCCTCTCCCCAGCCACTTGGTCCAGCTCCTCCGGGGGAATCCCGAGGCGTTCCCAGGCCAGCCGAGAAACATAGTCCCTCCAGCGTGTCCTGGGTCTTCCTTTAGGTCTCCTCCCGGTGGGACGTGTCCGGAACACCTCACCAGGGAGGCGTCCAGGAGGCATCCTAAACAGATGTCCGAGCCACCTCAACTGGCTCCTCTCGACGTGGAGAAGCAGCGGCTCTACTCTGAGTCTCTCCCGGATGATCAAGCTTCTCACCCTATCTCTAAGGGAGAGCCCAGACACCCTGTGGAGAAAACTCATTTTGGCCGCTTGTATCCAAGATCTCGTTCTTTCAGTCACAACCCAAAGCTCATGACCATAGATGAGGGTAGGAACGTAGATCGATCAGTAAATTGCGAGCTTCGCCTTTTGACTCAGCTCTCTCTTCACCACGACTGACCTGTACAGCGCCCGCTTCACTGCAGACGCTGCACCTATCCGCCTATTGATCTCACGCTCCATTTTTCCCTCATTCGTGAACAAGACCCCGAGATACTTGAACTCCTCCACTTGTGGCAGAACCTCCTCCCTGGCGGAGGTTCCGCTTCCGGCTCAAGACCATGGCCTCGGATTTGGAGGAACTGATCCTCAGCCCGGCCGCGTCGCACTCGGCTGCGAACCGCTCCAGTGAAAGCTGTAGATCACGATCTGATGAAGCCAATAAGACCACATCATCTGCAAAAAGCAGAGACGCAATCCTAAGGTCACCAAAACGGATCCCCTCAACACCTTGGCTGCACCTAGAAATTCTGTCCATAAAAGTTATGAACAGAATTGGTGACAAATGTGCTATATAAATAAAACTGACTTGACCGTGACTAATTCTGCTGGTTAATAGCTAATGTGCTGAAATCACACAGGGGTTTGTAGTTGACCTAAACTACTACCACTTCCAAAACATAAATTTTCCATTGACAAGGAATAAAAATACATTCAAGACCATAACTGTTTCAAAAGTTCTCAGGAAGCTGAAGGCCTGTTGACAGACAGCTTTGAGCCTGCGGTTGGTTTGTGGAGGAAACCCTGTGACAGATCAGCCGAGTGCAGCTGGGCAGATAGATCAGTGAAAGTTGAACATCCTGAACACATCAAAACTCTCAGGCATTTAACTAAGCATTTAGTTTTAAACAAGTTGAATAAAAACACAAAACATTATAGGGCTAGCATTTATTAAAGGATAGACTTTAATGCCAGAGTTTTTAACAAAAATCTTCTTGTGCTGAGAAAGGACAGAGTGATTGCACTATATTGTGAGATGTTATGGTTACTCAGAGAAAGCATTGAAGATGATTCTCTGTGTATGAAAAGTTACGTCATATCATGACTGAATGCAAAGAACTTTGCATTTGTATTTGTGGTTGAAAAGGGGGAAAAAGGGGCATTTCTTCATGATTTCTGAAACATGAGGCCTGTATGTTTGGCTCTTGAACTGGGCAGTTTAGTACTTATGAGTCATGAAGTTCAGCTGATTTGTTCTGGAGTTCATGCATGCACTGATCACCTGTGCTTCCTTGAAGCTGCTTGGCTCATGAGTTAAAATTTGCACCAATCACAAGCCCCATGTAGACATTTCAGGCTTGTTTCGCGTTTCACTTCTGTCACAACTACTGCACTCTTCATACTCTGATGAACTTATGACCTGCTGTAGCACTCATTAAATGGATGCAAATGACAATTATTTTGTTGTTTCCAGTTCAGACCATCTATCCATACATCTTGTGAACATGATAAATTGAAAAATAAATGAGGTACAGACTTTCATGTTGGTGTGTGGCTACATCTAGGCATACCTTTCGAAAATTGGGTTTCCACTTCAAAATCAAACATGGCTGTCACCAGAAATGTTGACAGTGTTGTGAGCAGGATAACTTAAAAAAAGTGAGGTACAAACTTTTATTTTGGGGTGTGACGGCTTTTAAAAGGTCCCCTATCAAAAATGGGTTGCCACATCTATAGTAAGTCCAAGAAGGCCACTGTAATATATAGTAAGTCCATCCATCACGTGAGCTGGGCAACTCGAAACATAAAAAACATGAACATTTAAAAAAAAAAAATCCAAAATGACCACCACCTTTTATATATGTAAACCACAATCATTTGAGAAAACTTTTGTTTTCTAGTTTTTTGTATTGCTTGGACCCACTTCTTCCTTTTTGGATTGCTGTGGTCACTGGTGCCCATATCCACCAATCACGGTGTGAGAGGCAGGGGACACCATGGACAGATGGCAAGAGTCCATCACAGGACCATATAGAGACAAACGAGACAAACAACCATTCACTCTCTCACACCTATGGACAATTTAGAGTTACCAATCAGCCTAACATGCATGTTTTTGTCTGCAAAAGGAAACCGGAGTACCCGGAGAAAACTTACGCATGCACCAACAGAACATACAAACTCCACACAGAAAGGTCCCCGGCCAGGATTTTCATTTGATGGTTGATAAAATTGCTTCCTCCACTCATCAGGATCCATCACTATAAGCTGCCTCAAACAAGAAAAAATACAAAATAAATAAAAATCAACCTCTATTCTGATAGACAGTGTAACCCACTTGAACATTTGGCACCAAAAACAGCAAACATTGCATTACATGTTCTATTGCAGTCCATAAAAACACTCATCTCAAAATCTACAACTGTTCAATATTCAAATCCCTCAGCATTGTTCTAGTTTAATTCTTGAGTTCACCATTGTAACAGAACATCCACCACAACGCCAAAAGTTAATCAATTGTAGATGATTCTTTTCTGATTGTATCAGTAAAGTCTGTCCAGTGAATCAGAAGCTATTCTGCTGATGCTGCAGACAAACATAACAACTGGCAAAAAAACTTATTACCTTATGTCATCAACAGAAGACAATAATCTTGGCTGCAAAGTGCTCAGCAACTTTAGTGTAGAAAACAGATTCAAAGACTCATCATTAATCTGTAAATTTACTGAACTTGTAACAAAAAGTTGAGTTATCATACAAAACTTTTATTAAAAACAGTTATTGGACACGTTCTCTGTACATTATTTCACAGAGGATACATTACTATTAAAGTTAAACTGCAGAAAGTAAACTATATTACATAATGACTGCATATGTGCTGCTTTTTTGTGCCTCTCACAGAAAACAGAACAGTGAAAGAGCCATTTTCTAAATAACACCTTTGGCATAAACTTGCATGCAACACCTCAATATCCACCATGATTGAATTTAAATTAATCTAAAATTGTCTGACTACATTGAATACAAGGCTTTAATACTTCATAATACCTTGAATATGTGTCAAAATACATACATTAGTAGTAACTTTCACATGGCAGTGATAGGCAATAAACAGTTAGGATACAAATTAAACAGATTTAAGTGCTACAAACTTCTTCTTAAAAAAACAACTTCATCTAAAAGTTTGAGAACTATTGTTTGTGATCCACACAGTGTCCTTTAAAATTTTTCCTCAATGAAAAAAAATGTTCTTTTCCACAAATATATATATATATATATTTATATATATAAAGAAAACAGCACTGACGCCCCACAGACCCTGTGGTGTTTCATCAAATCACATAGCTCCAAATCTGCATCTCCCCTTCAATGCTCAGAGAAAAAGAAACACTTTTTTTGCAGTTGCCTCTGTCCATTGAAGGCCCAGACAAACTGTGCGTCATTCATCACCTTTGATATCTCTACAAAGTGTCCTTTCACAGTCCTCCATCTACAGCTGAGTGGTTGCAGTTGAGCGCCTGCTCCTCCTGCCTTGGCGTTGAGCGGCAGGGAGGTGGCAGTAACGTGGTGGCCTGCCACGCCACTTTCTCTTGGAGCTACGTTGAATGCGAGGGTCTGGGGGGGCTGGTAGTCAGGCCTCCTCGGCAGTGGCGTCTATTCCAGCGTAGGTAAAGTTCTCGAAGAGAGCCATGTTAACATAAGCCTAGAAGACAAATGAGGCTTGTGATTAAAGAATTTAAAAAATTGCACAGGACTATTTACAGTATTTGATTGTTACATTTTTTTTTTCCAAATGGGTGACGATGGATGGGTTAAATGCAGAGACTAATTTTGCCATTGTATGGAAACATACAGTGCTGACATTGTGATGACATTATTATTATTATTATTATTATTATTATTCCAAAACAGTAAGAAGAAGATGTTTTACTTTGCTTCAGTTTTGCAAACATGTCATTAACGAAGCGGTACCTTTCTGGCCTCCTGCATCCTGTTGAGCTGGACAGAGATATGGGAGAAGGGTGGTCTCTCATAGGGTCGATCCCTCCAGCACTGCCTCATCAGCTCATAGCTGCAATAGCAGATGGGGTGAAAATATTAAATGGGATAAACATTTTTGATAGTTTCATAAAATTATAAACAAATAAGCTTTTTATAACTCACAGAAAGCAGAGTACTTACACTTCATCATCACAGTTTTTGGGTTTCTCCATCCTGTAACCCTGTGGTAGTTTTTCATAAAGTTCAGCACATGTCATCCCACAGTATGGTGTGCCGCCTGATACACAGGGATATGAGACAAATAACATATTAAAACAAGTTCAAACCATTCTAAATCTTTAACTGATATACAGGCAAGTTTAGAGGAGCTTGTTCTTTCATAAACCAAATTGAAATATTTGTTCAAACTTATGATTTATTGATGAATCTTTGAGTGAACCATCTTTCAAAAACTGCTGAAAAAGTTCCTAATGAGACAAAAGTTGACTTGAGAATGTAAATCTAGATCTTCCAGGTAGAATGTTGTGACTGCTTAGAAGAGCAGACTCAATGCATAGATGAACATCTCTTTTTCAGTTGTTTCTATAACCTAATTATAATAAATAAAATGTATGAATAACTTGAAAATCTTGGTCAACTTGTTACATACATTTCCCCTAAAGACATTGAGAAATGCTACTTTTACAATGCAAAACAAAACTTTTTTTAAAGCACATTGATTTAAATAAGCTTATCAAATTAAACAATACGAATGCAATTCAGTATAAACATTAAAGAGCTGATTCCAAATAAATTTTTCATCTCTTCAAAATATGACATTTGCTAATATTTGTTAACTCAGTCCTGAAATGTAAAAGACAGGAAAAGTGTAACTTTTCTGACAGTGTGAGGTCTGTAGGAAATTCTGCAGTGTGCTCAAAATTAAATGCAAAATAAAATAACACATTATAATACAGTTTCTGTGCTAAACATCTTAGGGTCCATGTTATCATTTTTCCATACCTACCCAAGCTTACAATTTCCCAGAGGAGAACACCAAAAGACCATCTGAAAGAAAAATATGAAGATGATACAAGGGAATACACTTTTATTCACGTTTCGATTAAACAACCTGTTGATCTTATCTGGTGACTTTCATAAAGAAACTCAGCTGTGGTAATCTACGGATAGATTAATCAATTCCTAATCAATTTCAATTCATGGTATTCACAAAACAAAACTTAGAAAAAAGGGTGGAACCAAGCATTACCAAACAAAAAAAAAAGAACGTTAGAGTTAAAATTAGAGTTGGAGGATAGGATTTAATGAATATAACATGATTTGTAGTCTTGTGATCTTTTAGTGTTTGGAGTATGTGGAGTGAATGATTGTGAGCAACTACTGTCAAGTTTCAGCACGATATCTACAAAATAAACAGTTATAGTCATTTACATGAAGGCTGAGGTCAAATAGCTTTGGTGGCCATAAAGATGTCGATGTCCTTTCAATAATTTCCTCCTGAGAGTTTCTTTAACATCTGTCCAGTGGTTTATGAAATATTTTGCCAAGAGTTAAACAGTAAATGTAATTTGTAGTCAAAGAGCACAATCACAAAAAAATGTGATTCACAAGATATGTTTATAATTGTATAGACATACCTATAAGAAATATAAATACAAAAGTATGTATATGCACATAGATATATTGTTATTGTGGTTTTGTGTTGTTAAGTTCATCAACATGAAACCACTATCACCTCTGAAATCTGATAAACAAAATTCTCACAAGAAAACAATACAGCCAGAATCACATGATTACAAACTGTGAGTTCAGTTTTATCAGCAGACAAGTGTTTGTGCTCACACCATCTTCTCGGCTGACACCTTTTTTTTACTTTAAGCTGCACTTAGTTCTCACTTTATCTGCATCTCTGAACGTGTCTTTTTCTCATGTTTACAACTCGCTCTGACACCCCAGACAGAGTTTACGCTTTATCCGTTATTTGCCGTGTGCTTTACTGGCCCACACTCAATGCTGTGTATAAATAGGCTCCAGTTGACAGAACATCTCCGTCTGCCCGCTGGGCTTCCTGGTTGAGCTTATCAGGTATAGAACACACTATCATCAGTCCAACAGTGACAACGGGATGATTTGTTGTTTTCTGTTGGAAGGCATGTTATGGTGTTTACATAAAAAAAATCATATAGGTGAAAGGTTGTTTTCAAAACATTAATAGTGAGCAAACAAAAAAGAAAATCCGTAGTTATTATGATTTATTATTGCAGTTATAATAAAGCCACCAATTAAAATAGTTAAGTAATGATTAGATAAATAAAGACACAGAATGCAGTGAAAAATAAACTAGTACAGTTGTAGGTGTATAAAGTTGAATTATAGGTTATAATAAAGAATTAAACACAATCTGTAACTCACACGTCACTTTTACTTGTATACACGCTGTAATTCAGAGACTCGATGGCCATCCAACGCACTGGCAGCCTTCCCTAAAAAGCCAAAACAACAAATTCAAGTAAAATATTCTGTTTCATGTTTGATTAGTATTATATTTAAAGTCCTGTTACTGAAGAAAACATCAGAGTGACTCAAATAGAATATGATTTGTGTCCGTATATTTAAGTGATATAAATTTTGTGAATGATTTGAGCAACAAAACAGCAGGATGATTGCTCGCTAGAGGTTGTTCAAATGTTTTACAGCAGAACAAATCCTGTGCAGAAACAGGACATGAAACACATTAGTACATTAGATGTCTTTGATCTGGGTTGCATTCGTATTTTTGTTTTTTGGAAAGCAAACTGTGAGTCATGTGTTTGTTATGTTTTAATATGCCTGGGCCTGGTTATAATACACCAAGTTTTATATGAAATATGATGTTCCCTCACAGAACAATCACAGCTGAGTCTGAGTCACAAGAATCAAATATGTTACTTGTAAGTACTTAAACTAATTAGGGCATCATTGTGTTGATTGTATAGTTAAAATCAAATTTTGTTGAAGTGTAACAAACAAAAAAAGACATTTTACTAGGCAATGTACCGACGAGCTGAGTTTACAAGAAAATATTTCATAAAACAACTTTGACAAATGTGTCTCAAAAAGTAGGGTTTGTGTTTTCCTGGTTTCTGGCTCCATCTTGTGTTGTGTTTATGTCTGCGTCCTCCTGGTCCTGTCTCTGTCTTTGGCATCTGTGATCACTCACAGGTGCCTTCACTTTGTCTAATTGGTGTTTCACGTATTTAAGTCTGTGTGTTTGATTTTACCCTTGTCCTGGCATTGTCTCCTGTCATCTGGTGATGTCCTGTCTGCTCCCTGTGTACCTTAAGTTTTGCTGCCCTGTCAGCCTTTTCTGTTATTTTTGTAAATAAATGCTTTATTTAATCATTACCCTGAGTCTTCGATTGCCTGCCCGCACCACTGGGTTCACCAGCACCAGCCTTGTTGTAACAAAAATATAGTGCTATAAACCTTTGCTTCTGCATCTTTTATCAGTTTCAAGTCCAAACAACTCACCATTGTCTTCTTGACGTAAACTTCCTCACCACGTGACAAACCAAAATCTGCTATTTTTGCCACAAGGCTGTCCCCTACAAGAACGTTCCTTGCTGCCAAATCCCTGTGGATGAACTAGGAGAGAGGAAGAGAGGAGCTGTTGAGTCTAACCCTGTTCAGCATAAATAATTAATAAAATCAGAGACTTGAAGAAACTTAAAGACATATCATTCAGCACTAAACACACATCTTTTCTCATTTCACCTGCTTGTCACTGAGGTAATGCATCCCAGTGGCCACATCCACGGCAAACTGCAGCAGCTGCTGCGAGGTGAGGGTGGAAGCAGTACCGTGCTCTTTTGCAAAGGCAGGGTCGGTCTCCAACACACGACTCTTCCTCAGAAAGTCAAGAAGGTTTCCGTAGGGGGCATACTCTATGGCTATGTACAGATAGCCTGAAAAAGATTCAGACATAGACACCTGAAGTTAACTGTAAGGCTTTTTATTATGTTATCATTTTAAACTGTTTCATGATTTATGCACTTCTGTGCACACGAAGCAAAGAAGATTCTGGAAAAAAAGAACCATCAGTCCACGTCCAAGCTGATAGGAATTCTTTGTACTTACACAAGCTGTTTTTTCTTAGAATTGTTTGTTCTTTTATAAAACCAGAAATGTCAAGGTTTATACATATCAACTCATATCCCATCAATCTTACACTGTCATTGTTTCTCTTACCTTTAACTGATACAAAGGGTATCAGAAACTCATTACAGTAAGCATTTAATCAAAATGTTCTAAGATCACTTTGCCCTCGTTGTGTAATCTGCCTAATCAAGATGTCCATTTTTTTCCTCCTTCCTGTGTGAACAATAAAAGACGAGCAGATGTGGAAAACCTTTGGAGTTCACAGTGAGCAGCATTAGAGGTTGTGACACTGTGGATTTCCCCTTTTTGCAAAAAGCTCGGTTGAAAATCTAACTCTGTTGTCCTGTGTGGTTCTTTATTTTTCTAGGTACAAGAAATACCTGACATTAACCATCAGCTACAGTACAAGAATTGATATTGCGATTTTTCTTATATCATGTGCATCTTTTTGACTCAAGTTTGCTGAAGTAAAAATATTCCTGAAATTGTTCCAAAAGCCGCAACGAAAACCCCAATTCCCCAAAAAGTTGACGTTATGTAAAAATGTAAATAAAAACAGAATGCAATGATGTGCAAATTTCCAAATTTCATAAACACATTTTATTCACAAAGTAAAGTTTTGTTGTTGTTGTTGTTGTTTTTCGGCCGCTTCCTTCTTCAGGGGTTGCCACAACAAGCTAAGTTGCACGAAGACTTGGCAATTGTTTTTACGCCAGATGCCCTTCCGGATGCAACCACAGACCACCGAGCTGCTCAGCCCTCTGTGTGGAACAGAGAGCTGCTATCTATGGTGCTCGGGGGAGCAGATGGTAGGGGTTAAAGGCCTTGCTCAAGGGCCCAGAGTGGGGCAAATGAGGGTAGAGACAGGTGTGGATGCTTCATCTTTCCCACCCACATTTTGTTGTTGTCGGTACCGGGAGTTGAACCGAACTTCCCATCACAGGCCCACCTTCTCTAACCTCTGCACCACCATTCTCTCCTTTCACAATGTAACATAGTAAACCTGTCAAATGTTAACACTTGATAATATTAGCTTTTTTTTATAACAACCCACCTTAAAAAAGGTAAAAGTGTAAAAGTGATTCTAAGGTGATTTTTTTTTTATTATTATTTAACCCAAAGATGAATGGATGCATTAACATATATTTTAACAACCTTCCTAAAGTAATCTGAGAGAGTAAAATAAGCATGCCTGTAAATTATTTCTGAAAAAAGTATTCCTTTTGTTTATCTGAATTTATAGTAATATATCAAAATATCAGCTGTCACAGTAAAAACTAATACACATATTTGCTCTTCCTTTTGAGTTGAGTCTATAAAATCTAATTTTTAAGTTTGCTCTCCTTCCCTGCCATGCAACAGTTCAGGGCTGAATTCCTCCTGAATTAATTTAATCCTTCCAACATGTCGATATGAGAGTAAATGTGTTCCAGATCTCGGTAAGATGAGGATGCATTAAACTAGACCACATTAAAACTCCTCTGCAAGCCATGCATGCCCTTTCCTTCTTGTAATAAAATACCTTTTAGCAACCTCCCTGTCCTAAACTGAGATATGGTACGGAAAGAACACTTATAAATTATATGTTAAATAAATAGTTCTTCCATTAAAGGAACAAGTTTTTTTGTTTTATGTTGTTTCTAAAAACTTTCTTTGTTTCATGTCCTCCCTTCTTTATTGCGCTCAATATTTCTTCTTTCTTTTTCCCCTCCCACACAACCATTCTTTTAGGTTTGACTTTGTCCATGACCAAAAAAGACGAAAAAGTGTTTTATAATATTCTGTAAAATACATCTGTAAGTATACAGTTTGAATATATGTCACATTTTGGTAATAGGCTCTTGTGCTTTATAATAAGTTTATTTTTTGTGTTTCTATTACTCAGTAAACTTGACTAAATACATGAACAAGCTGTATGCTGGCCCCCATCGCTGAGTGATTTGAATAGTGACTGAGGTTTTTCAGATCAGGTTTTATTTCTGGGCTGGATTTGAACAGGGAATGCAAGTACAAAGTAAACCTTAATGTTTATGGTGCAAGATATTCAAGGAGTTACACTGTGGAGAAGAAGAGAGGTAGTTTTTTTTTTTTTTTACTTGTCCAAGACGACGCAGAGTGACTGATCCTGGTAAGTGAAGGGAGCACCATGACCAGGTGCAATGGCAGAGTCAGGGGGTGGCTAATGGTGGCCTTGACCACTATAGATTAATTCTTGGCCACTACATCAGCCATCTGAATTATTTGAAGAAACTATACTTTTAAGTCGTCAAAGTTCATGCTCAATAATCCATGTAAAAAATCCAACAAAGATAAGCCAGGTCCTCTGGATGGTTTCTTTTTGTTGAAACAATTCGTCTTTCATCCAAAAGGTTTTTCCCCTGGATTACTGAGCATGAACTTTGATGTTGTTGGCTGCCTCAGACAAGTTGACGGGGGAGAGGACGGACTCCAGAAACCATCTTATCACCATCAAACTGGTTGGTCCACTTTGTGAGTGTGCTACTTATGGGACTGAGTTTGTTGTAGCTCCTCGGATTGATGAAGTCTTTTGGATGAAAAATGAAACATCTCAACAAAAAGAAACTGGCCAGAGGACCTGACTTAATTTTGTTGGATACTTTTAAGTAATAAGATAAAAATAAAAACTAGAAAATATAGTTTCTTACGCCTAAATACAGCCACGCCATAAAGGATGTTGGCCCATTGCTTATTTTTAAAGTTATCCAGCTCACAAAGTTGACATTTGTATGGTGGCAGCCATCTTGCATTTTGGCGTAGCAACCCAATTTTTTAAAGGAGCATTTCTTGCACCTAGATTCAGCCACACATCAAAATGGAAGTCAGTACATCACTTTTTTTTTTTTTTTTGCCAAGTTATTATGCTCACAACATGCACAGACAGATGGACAGATGGTGGGTATTTCCAATTCCCCCTTTCTGCTCTGCGACAGTGGACAAAAACAAAATAGGGTGAAACTTAAGAGTCAGAGACTGTTTAAAAGTATATAAAAGTTTATAATTCAAGAGTAAATTAGGATGGCAATGCTCTCATTAATGTTATTATTGCACTAGATTTTCCTTCTTATAAGATATAATCCATATATCCATCCATTATCTTTTACCCACATATTCCTTTTCGGGTTGCAGGGTTCACTGGCACCTAAATCCAGCATTCACTGTGTTTATGAGGCGGGGTACACCCTGGACAGGTCTCCAGTCCATCACAGGGACACATGGAGACAAACGAGACAAACAAGCATTCACTCTCTCACTCACACCTAGAGACAATTTAGAGTTACCAATCAGTCTAACATGCATGTTTTAGGTCTGTGGAAGGAAACTGGAGTACACGGATAAAACCCACACATGCTCAGAGAGAACATGCAGATACTCAGAAAGGTCCCGGGCCAGGATATGAACTGGCAACCTTCTCGCTGAGAGCCAACAGCTCTAACTGCACCACTGTGCTGTTATATATCAACCTTTGATTAAACAAAGTAATTAAATTACACAGTTTAGCAGATGCTGTAAAATGGAAACTGATACTTTATAACATTCAGCACCAAAGAAACCTCATGATGATACAAACCAAAACCGTGAGGTTTGTCTTTGCTTTTTTACTGCGACGTTGCCCTGCATAATTTCTTCTAAATGAACTTAAATTCATATGAAGACCCATAGATGCCACTAGATGTCACTCACTCACCTCTGTTCTCACAGGCTCCAATCAAATTGATGATGTTGGGATGTTGGCCTAGTTTGCACAGCACCTCCAGCTCTCCTGCGAAGTCTCTGTGGTCGTTCTCTGAGGCAAACTCTGCAGGCAGAACAACACGCAACGCATCGTCGGATAAAGTGCAAGCAAAGCAGATTTTCTTGAAAACGTCAGAAAAGCTCTGCTATTGTGTATCTGCGAGCATGTGTGTGACACCTGTACCAATTCTGTATGTGTCTGCGAATGCCTGTTACCCTTTAGCATCTTGATGGCTGCACTCATTTTGGCTCCATCCTTCTTGATCATGGCTTTGATGACCTGTTACAAAACTGTTGTTAGCTTAATTGTTTTATCACATTAAAAAAAATAAATCAACAACTACAACAGAAGCATTTGACACATTAAAAAACAAAACAAATGTCCAAAAACCTGGCCAAAGTTGCCCTCTCCAATAACATCTTCAAACTTTATGTTCTCCCACTCAAGGATTGGATAAGTCAGAGGTTCTGGGGTGGGCTTGGGCCTTCTTGTGAGGGTCAGAGTTCCTGAGTTAAACTGCAGAATAGTTTCTTCACCCTAAAATTTAATCAGTTTAAAGTCAGCATCAGTACCAATATATCAAAGTTCTTTAATGTAAGAATTTGTTCAAAACAATCAAGCAGTTCTCCAAAGAACCAAGTTCAAATTGATGCCTCCTCACCGATCCGGACTGGTAGGTAAACGTGCGCCGGCGATTGAGCAGCATCTTCCTGATGAAGAAAAGAGCCAGCAGTGCCAGCAGTATGGTCACACAGGTTACGGTTACAGAACCCACAATTGCCACAAGCAGCTGATAATTGTCAGCAGCGGGCTTCCCAGCCACACCCTGGGTGGTCGGGATCATCATTTGAAGGCCTGTTTTGGCAGAAAGGACAAGATGGAAATGAAAAACGAGATAAGTTTCCGTTAGTGGAGACAGATTTGCGGTTTTAGTGCAGACTGTTTTTTTTTTTGTTGTACTGAATAAATTCCTGTCCCTTCATAGGTGGTCCTATTTAATTCAAGCCAATAAAAACCCTTTGTTGGCCGCAAAGATGGCAATGACAAGGTTTTCCATTTGGGGCTATTTTTTTTATGTTAAAGAGGAAATAAACCCAACATGAAAGTTTTGAGTATTTGAGACTTTATTTTAAATGAACTGGGTTTTTTTTCTGCTATTACACTTTTGATATGTTTTAAACAATACAGCATAGTTCAGACAATAATCTTCTAAGGAAATACACTCCTGCTGCTTACCATCCCCTTGTGTCATCTCCTGAACAAAAGTGCTCCACTCTCCTGGCACCTTGGAGCAAGCCCTCACTCTGAACTTGTACAGGGTGCTGCTGTTGAGTGCGGTAATATCTTTGGTGGTAATGTTCCAATCATTTATGTCCACCCAGTGGTGAGGGGTCCCCTGGCCAACAGGCTGGTATTCTATGGTGTATTTAATTATGCCTCCATTTGGGTCTTTGGGGGGCTGCCAGCTAACTTGGATAGCTGAGGTGGACAGGGACACAACCTGGATGTTCTGTGGGGACGATGGACCTGAGACGCAGAGACGCACGATAGAAGTTATTCTGTTATGTTCATTAAAAAAAGCAAACCCTTCCAAAGACTTTGAATAGATTTGCTCTAAATAAAATAGCTTAGCAATTTTACTTTCGTTCATTTTTATTGCACAATTATATTGCTTATTTTTCCACATTCATAAAAGTTGCAACAAACAAACTGCACATTTTAAAATAAGCCTTCCTTGTTACACATAATTGAAATTTTAGTTACCATGGCTGTTGATCCGGAAGAGGTATGGTTTGGAAGGTGGGCCCTGGCTGCCACAGTTGATGAGGCGCACCTCCACGGAATAGTCTTGATGATACTCCAAGTTGTGGAACTTGGTGGAGAGCACATTGAGCAGGGTGGTCTTCTCCAGTACTTTCTCCTTGCTGGGTGGTTTGAAGAGCTGCACTAAAAAGCCAGTTGCCATGCCAGGAGTGATGCCACTGTTGCTGGGCAGTCGCCAGCTCACGGTTGCGTTACGACCTTCCGCTGAGTGAATGTCAATCTCAGGTTCAGTTGTGGGCTCTGCACCAGAAAACACAGGATGGACTTAAAGGGCCAGCTCAAGTCCTCAGAACTGATTCTGAAAAGTTCTGAAAATGTTCTGATTCATAATCCTTAACTTTTAACTGCATGACAAGAGTAGAAATAAACACCATCAGTTCACAAACGGCTCACAGCCTTCCTGTTTCCTAAATGTAGAAAAACTGTTCGCTCCTTTGCATTAAAAGGGGTCAGTTAAGGTGGTCCAGGCCTTTAGGATGTCGCCTGGACATTGAAGGTTTTCCAGGCTTGTTTTACTGAGGAGACCCTGGGCCAGACCCAAAACCTGTTGGAGGGATTATGAAAACAGCACAGGAATTTTGTATCATCTTTGACCTGAGAATGATTGAAATTATCCAGGAGGAGCTGGAGAGTGTCACTGGGTTTCCCTCCTGAACCCATCACATCTGCATCTAGGTTACTTTTAAGCAACAGAAAGTGGATGGATTAATAGAAGGCTCTAGCTGTCTGCACCACAGTCACAGAGAACTGATTCTCTTTTTTTGGCATTTAGCAAATCAACATATGTCCATTAACTGTTTGGACTTTCTGAACCTGAAAGCACAGTTAAGTTTTGATCTTACCAGGACAGTCTGTCTCCATGATCTCCTCTGGTCCAGGGGACCCCTCTCCTCCCTCCCCAGGTCGACTCAGCTGAACACGAACATGGTACCGTGTGGCTGGCTCCAGGTTCATCAGAGTGATGGGCTCTTTGTCACTATAAACTGAAAGAAAATGTGCCAAGAATAAACTACAACCCAAATGTGTTTATTATGAGTAGTCTTTATTTGGAATAATACATTACACTTTTTATTTTTTGTAAATATAATATAGTAATTTTAATATAACTTGACCTGCTATTTTAAACAGTGAATCTGATTGGTGATAAAGTTTTGCCCTGAAGATTCTTTGTAGCTTCAGCCAGGCTGTCATAGCCTTTGGATGTTAAACATTTTTCTTCTTTTTCTTTTGATGTGCAATCAAATAAAAAGAACAAATAATATTTGACTCCTTAAAAGGACCTGGCAACATGATTGTGTTCTCTGTTTACCTATGATGGAGGACCAAGAATTCCCGTTCTCCACCGGCTTGTAGAGGAGCCTGGTTGAGATTATGGGGCCATCTCCTCTGTGGGACTTCACAGGCCTCACCACCAGTTGTTTGCTACTCTTTTTAAGCAGTTCTGGAGCTGTAGTGGGCACTGGAGGCTCTGTGTGGAAAAAAAGAAAAAGACAATTACATTAATAAATGTTGTAGTTTTTTTTTTTTTATCTTGATCAACAAAATTTACTCTGACCTTTGACGGTGAGATTGAATTTTCGGGAGTCCTGGCCTCCATTGGTGAACACCCTGCACTCCCACAACCCTCCTTGCCGAGCGCTCAGGTGAGGAATCTCAAACAGAGCCGTGCTGATATTTGATTCCATGATGGTTTTCGAGGGCTGAGAGAAAAATATGTAACATGAGAAAAGAAGAAAACCACATTTTACACCCATTACTCATTAATGCTGCTTGAATTTCCCTCAAGAAAACCTTTCCATTGAGAAATATCTGTGTTCCTGTGGGAAATGATGGTCTGATTATCCATCAGATTGTTTCTCTAATGAAGGAAACAGAAGAGAAAGAAAAACACAGAGGCTGGATGTAGGGCTTTAAGGCAGCACATGGTGACAGCTGCCTTGCAGAGATACAGCCTTATCAGGTCAGACCACTGTGGTGTTGACTTCCTCAAAGTGCGACTCAACCTTTTTATCAGTGAAGACTCAAAGGCCTAGATCAGTTGAACATTGTTTCCCTTATATCTTTTGGTCAAAAAGCTGATATATTTGTTTAATTTTATCACCAAGTTTTTTTTTTATTGACATTATGTCTTTAATAAACACTGTCATCAACATGTATCTGATTTCTCACGACAAGCTTGCAGAACAGACCCACATTTAAAAAGAAGAATATTTTAAAGCATTGGTGAATTTGTGGATTCAAGGTTCTTTATTTGTCATACGCACCACATGCGGTATATGTGGTGGAAGGAAATTGTGTACACAGTATCCCAGTTACATCCAACAAAAGTATAAAATGTAAAAGAAAAACAGTAATAAGATCTAAGATGTGAACTAAGAAAAAACGTTAAGTGGAAAATACACTAAGCACTAGTAGCATAGAAACGTTACACTGAACAGCAGCGCAAACATGAGTCTGTGTGAGCAGATGAGCACGAATGAACACAGTAACATGAAATAAATCAGCATCATGATGTGATTTTTCACAGTGATTATCCTGGTTAGGGATTCATGAGTCTAACAGTCTCAGGGTAGAAGCTGTTCCTCAGTCTAGTTGTTCTACACTTAATGCTCCTTAACCTCCTGCCTGAGGGAAGCGGGGAAAAAAGTGTGTGTGCTGGGTGAGTGGTGCCCTTCATGATGCAGTTGGCTCTCTTCCTGCATCTAGAGGTGTAGATGTCTGTGATGGTGGGGAGGCTGACTCAAACACACTTCTGTGCAGCTTTCACCACTCTGCAAAGCTTTTTTTTTTTTTTCTGCAAAACTTTTTTTTTTTTTCTGCAGCTGTGCTCCATGCCACACGTTGCACTTTTTGCAAATGTTTTATTTTGGTCTCATTGTTACTGTTTTAATATTTTTCAATACATTAATTTGTGCGAATGATTTACTTTATTTCAGGCTCACTTTCAGGTCATGTTAATGGTCGATGTGGGCAAAGGTTGATCTTTGTACCTTGAGCACAGTGCTGTCCAGTTTTCGCAGCTCTATGCTGTTGTGACTGGGCAAAGGGTTGCCTGTGGCTGAACATCTGATCTGCGGGCTGGAATTCAAATTCCACTCCAGGTTACAATTCAAGTCCAAAATCTGAGGAGCCCGGTCTGCAGAGTGACAGAATCAACAACATAGAAATAAAAAACACTTGAACAAAACTGCTAGTTAAAGAAAAAAACAATAAAATAAAATAAACACCTGTAAGATTTTCCAAAAAGCATCCATCCAACCATTATCTTTTACCCACTTCTTCCATTTTGAGTCATGGGGATCGCTGGTGCCCATGTCCAGCAATCACTGTGCAAGGGGCGGGGGACACCCTGGATGGGTTGCAAGTCCATCACAGGGACACATACAGACAAATGAGACAAACAACCACCCACTCTCTCACTCACACCTAGGGACAATTTAGAGTTTCCAGTCAGTCTAACATGCATGTTTTTGGTCTGTGGGAGGAAACCAGAGTACCCCCGAGAAAATCCACGCATGCACGGAGAGAACATGTAAACTCCACCCAGAAAGGCCCCAGGACCGAGATTTGAACCAGGGACTTGTTTGCTGAGAGGCAGCAGCTCTACCAGTTTGTTTTCCAAAAAAAAAGTACTTCTCAAAATTTTTGATTTTAAAATTAGGTGTGCTACAAATTTTGTCCTGATTGAAGAACAGGGACAAATTGTGCAAACTCTAAGCTAAGTCAAGAAAATCATTTCATCTCTAAATTTTCCATCTTTAAAATGTTGATGTTATAGAATTACACTCAGTTAAAAAAACAAACAACAGTACATACTTCCATTTGCATTAATGCTTATTAAGGCCTTTTTGTTTAGAAGACACATTTGCTATTATGAAACTAAACTTGTATTCATTGGAGGATTATGGAATTGCACATGAATAAACACAACTGTCAAAATTAAGATCTTGGTGATGAAACTAACCAGACTTCTCACAGTTCTGTCCTCTCCATCCGGTGGGACACTGACATCCACTGAAACGGTGGCAAACCCCTCCATTCTGACATTTACAGCTTAGCCTGCAGTCTGGTCCATACATGTCATGATGGCAAGCTGAAAAGAATAAAACATATTACATTCAAAGCATCTAATTATAATGTACTAATGAAGTAAATAAAATGGAGTTGTGCTCACCCGTTTCACAGTGTCTCCCAAACCAGCCCGTGGCACAGGAACATCCGTAGGGGTCTGGTAGACAAAAGCGGAGTCCCTTGCAGTTGCTGTTTAGTTCTGAGCCACACGATTCCAGGCAGTTGCGACCAAACATCCCTTCTCTGCAGGCTGCTCATCACAGAAAATACATGCTTATTATTGTATATTTTATGATTTAGCTGCATCATGCTTTAAACTGCCTTTCAAACACCTCCAGTTTAAGCACGCTGTCAGGAAAACAAGTAAAAAAATCAGCTGTGCAAAAATAACAAGCCTAAAAATCCATCTATCCATCCATCCATCCATTATCTTACATTCATCCCAAAGTTGGGTCGTGGGGGCAGCAGCTTGAGCTGGGAGGCCAATACATCTCTTTTCACAACCACCTCTTCCAGCTCTTCTGGGAGGGCCCCAAGGTGTTCCAAGGCCAACTGAGAGACAGTCTCTCCAACATGTCCTGGTTCTTCCCCAAGGTCTCCTCCCAGTCTGATATGCCTGAAGCAGCTCCCTAGGGAGCCACCCAGGGAGCATTCTTATCAGATGCCAGTACCACCTCAACTGACTCCTCTCGATGTGGAGGAGCAGTGGTACTTTGAGTCTGTCCCAGATAACTGAACTTCTCACCATATGAGATAGTCCAGCTGCCCTGTTGAGGAAACTCATTTCAACCACCTGTATCCACGATCTCATTCTCTTAGTCACTACCCAGAGCTCATGACCATAGATGAGGGTAAGAACATAGACTGAGCGGTAAACATAGAGGTTTGCCTTACAGCTCAGCTCCCTCTTCACTACAATGGACCAGCACAGAGTCCAAAATACTGCAGACGCTGCACCAATCCTCTGTTAATCTCACGCTCCATTCTTCCCTCACTCATGAACAAAACCCATAGATACTTGAACTTCTCCACTTGAGGCAGAACCTCACCCTCAACCTGAATAGAGCAATTCACCCTTTTCCGGTTGAGGACCATGGCCTCAGATTTGGAAGTGCTGATTCTCATCCCAGCTGCTTCACATTCGGCTGCAAACTGCTCCAGTAAGAGCTTGAGATCACAGCATGATGACGCCAACAGGACTACATCATCCACAAATAGCAGAGAAGGAATCCTGAGGCCACCAAACCAGACTCCCTCCGCTGGAATGAAAAATTCTGTCCATAAAAGTTATGAACAGAATCTGTGACAACGGGTAGCCCTGGTGGAGTCCAACTCCCACCCTGAAGGGGTCCAACTTACTACCGGCAATTCAAAGTACCAAACTCTCACACAGCTTGTACAGGGACCGAACAGCCCATAGCAATGGGCTCCCAGTCCCATAATCACAGAGCACCCCCCACAGTGTATCCCGAGAAACACGATCAAATGCCTTTTCCAAGTCCCCAAAGCACATGCAGACTGGATGGGCAAACTCCCATGCCTAAAGATCTTTTGACAAAATGTTTATTATAAAATAGTTACTGCTGAATTGAAACAAACTTGACTCAAAACAAAATTAGCCAAAATAGTAATTTAGATGAAGTAAAGCCAAAAATTCAAAGGATAACGTAATGCAAGCCTACTGTGTGTATCTTTTTAAGTCATATGTGTTCTTTGTTATATAATTTTAGATAGACAAAGCATGTCTTAGTGTGTAACAAAATACATGAAACAGGCTAACATCACATCTAGTATTTAGAAGGATGAAAATGAAATCTCACCCCTGTGCTGAAAACGACGGACAAAATTCTGTTGTTTTAGATATAAATTAATGTTACAAGAAGTTAAAAGTTATGGATGTAAATTTTGATAAATTTATTAAAGAAAAATGTATATGACAGTTATTATACTGTACATAACTATATGTATACAATATGTAACTAACTGCTTTGAACATATAATTTATGAAGATAGACAACAATCTAAAATTGAAAGCATTTATTGTGTTACTGTCTTTATCAATTAATTGTTTCTTTTGCTTAATACACACGTCAAACTTTAGCTGCAAGGATGTTGTACAGTAGTCCAAACCTGTCTCACAGCGTGTCCCCATGAATCCTGGAGGGCAGACACAGTCCCCATCCAAATCATGACAAACTCCACCGTTCAGGCAGTCCGGGCAGTCCCTGTCACAGTAAGGACCCCACTTCTTACCTGGACAATCTACAGAGAAATAACAAACACTACAATGACAAACTTTTTAGAGGACCTTGAGTTTCCTCGATGAGTGTTTATTTTATAGTTTGGACCTTTTATCTGTACATAATACATAAAAAGGTCATAAACAAACTTCAACAAGTGAAATGTAAAGCTCAAACATCTGTGTTTGTTAAATAGAAGTAGGAGGGGCTAAATTAAGGGAAGAGTAGAGATGGAGTCAAATTTCTGTTTACAATATTTTCTGTTGTATAAGCCGCACCTTTTTACCTAATTTGCATAACCTGTGACTCACTGAAGTGTCTTATTTATGTTTTATATCCCAAATTTATAACCCAATTTTTGACTGAGATATGACCGTTTTCATTCATTCTGACATGGAAAATATTGAACACTACCATTTTCAGCTGCTAGATAACACTCGAGTAGTATGGCATGCCGTTTGTCATGTAATAGGTAAAAGTGGCTATTATGACACAATTGGCTTGCCATAACCTACTACCTTCGTCCAGCTCCAGGATAATGCCTGGAGCAACCGTCAAATCAGCTTCATTCCGCTGCGCCGCCCCGGCGAAATGCAGCTAATTTGACCATTGAAGTACATTTACTAAGTAAAAGTTCAACTGAGACACACCTTTGTTATAATGGAGGGCAATCAAATAATTGTTTTAGGTGCTTATCTTGTTAAATTTAGAAGAAATGCACAGCATTCCTCCTTCCTGATTTCCTCCCTCTGTGTGCTCCCGGAGCACCGAGGCAACAAATACTTTTGAAATTCAGCTGATTTTACCATTAAAGTGCATTTATTAAGGAAACATTATACTGAGACACAACTTTACTATAATTTCGAACAAACAACTAATTGTTTTTAGGTGGTTATCTTATTAAATTTCCAAGAAATGGACAGCGAGTCGTACCTCTGCACACTATTGCTTCTGCGTATCATCTTTTGAAATGCAGCTGATTTGACTGTCAAAGTGCATTTATTAAGTAAAAGTTCAAATGAGACCATTTTACTAAAATTTCAAGGAAACAAATAATTGTTTTTAGGTGGTTATCTTGGTAAATTTTGAAGAAATGCACAGCATCCTTCCTCTGCGTGCTCCCGCTTCCACAGAGCGGCTTTTGAACTGTAGCTGATTTGACTGTCAAAGTGCATTTATTAAGGAAAAGTTAGACTGAGACACACCATTGCTATAATTTTGAGCAAACAAATAATTGTTTTTAAGCATTAATCTTGTTAAATTCTTGTTAAAGTCCTTCCGTGAACGCTCCCGCGGTCGTTATTTGGCAGCCAATTGATTTTTGGCATAACACCGGCCCACATTTCTGGGTTGTCAGCAATGACGCGTAACAAACGCGACGCGTCAGCGGTGACACATGATAGATGTGACTTATATGGCAAAGTGATGTATTTATGTTTTTTTTCCCACTTTATTACACATACGGTGTAAAAGCAGGGCAGCCGACTCGGGACCCGAAAGTCGCAGGTTCAATCACCCGTCATTGCACATCTCATGATGTCTCTGAGCAGTACACCTTATCCCCAAATGCTCCCCGGGTGCTTTCAATAGCTGCCCACTACACCATTTGGTGGTGTATGGGTTAAATGCAGAGATGTAATTTTACCATTGTATGGGAACACACAATGATGATAATACATAACTTTATTATTATATTTGGACTGATGCAACTTATATGGCGCTGTGACGTGTTTGGTGGAAAATATGGTATATTTTAAATACTAAGAAAGACTAACTAAACAGCTTATAAACATCTTACTAGAAATCTGCATGTGTGAACATTACAAAATCCCTTTCAAAAATAGAAAACAGATTTTTGAGGAACTTAAAAGTGGTACTTATTATTCCTTTTTATAGAAACTTGTTTTTTTTTTTTCAAATGAACTCTGATATGCAAGTCACTAAATACCCTAAGTATAAATCAAACTATAAACATTTTGTGGAAAACAACAGCAAGCAGAACTTGTCTTGCTTAAAAAAAGAAATGAATCGAAAAACATTTTTTCCCTGCATTCAAACGTCATTCCATCTGTGATGTTGATCATAATCTGGGTGTGTTTTGTGAGCAAAAACATATTCCCATTATTAATGAAACAATGTTGAAACGTGTGCCACAGGCTGAGGCTATGAGCTCAAACGCACAAGTTGCTCAGAAAAATGAAGTGAAAGTGTTTCTTAAACTGACAAGTAAAACTTGTAATCCAATAAAAATATTTTGCAATAACCTAAAGCAAGCAGTTTATGTAAGAGAGCCATCAAATCTCTGTTCCATACGGAGTAATGAGCAAAAATTAATCCAAGCTGCTGTACAGAAACTATTAACAGTTCCTGGAAGTATTTGTTTCTGCACATAGAGGCAACTCATGATAATAAAAGTGTCTATAATACACATGCATGTATTTCCGTATTATATTGTATTACTTTTGTACTATGAAAACACTGACATGAGCATAACAGTAATAAAATGTAAGAATTTAACAAACCTCTAACAATAAGCCTCATCCAGGCTCCATTAAGGGGGGTGTCCCCAAAGTAGCTGGCACTGTAGATGCCTTGATTGGCCAAAGATGCATTCTCCACAGTCAGCGTCACAGTGCGGTTAATCACTTCATTCCAGTGAGTCATGTAATAGTAGTTTCCTGATTAAAAAAAAACATGAAGAAACATTCATGGCACACGGTACAGCCAGTCTCTGTATTTCCTCAATATCTTCTAACTTAAGCTTGTGTGTATTTTCTTTTTCCTGATGGTTTTTCAATGTGTTTTAGATTTCCTTCAATCATGTTTAGTTATCCACACTCTCTTACCGTTGTACTTCCAGGTCACGTCTCTCTTTTCATGGCTGTGGAGCGTCATGTTGAGGTGAGCCGTCTCCCCCTTGTTAGCGGTCAGTGTAAGGTAGTTTGGGATAAAGTTAGCTGAAAAGACAAAGATACACATTTATTTTCGACCATGAAGCTAGGACCCCCTTCAAACCCAGTTGTAGAAAAAAAACAAATGTACCTTTGCCAATGTTGTTAATCAGTGTGACCTTGAGAGGTGGGACATCCTGAGTGCTTTCACAGTAGAAGATGCCAATGTTTTCCAGATTGCGAAAATCTCTGGCCACAGCCTCCTTCTTTCTGGGCTTATAGACTTTAAAACTTGGCGGTTTGGGAAATACGAGGATTCTGTTGTCTCTCATGATGTTCAGTTCAACTTGAGCAGGGCTGCGCTCACCATTGATACAGGAGATGGTAAAGTGATTGACGTGAGAAGCCTCTGCTGTGGAGATCATTGTCAAGTCGATCACAGCATCTGTGGAAAAGAACAGTAGTCATTCTCTCACGTGAGGCAATGTGATTTCTATGCCTAAGAACCTTGAAATAAGTTCATTTGGTAACAAAAACATGTAGGGGGGGCGCTGCGGTAGCGCAGTGGTCTGTATCATGTTCCTGCAAACCAGCGGCTGCAAGTTTGAGCCCAGGTGAATCAGGGAAGGCATTTGCTGAATAACAATTGTCAAATCATTTATGCGAGTTTGCTCACTGTGGCAACCCCTACATAAGTAAGCAGCCGAAAGAAAAATCAACAACAAAAACACGTGCTTGGTCATTAGTGTGCAATAATTTAAAATAATAACATCAGCAAAAAGAACTAGTAACTGTTTCAGTCTGGCTTTCAGGATTAGCAGAGCACAGAAACAGTTTTTCTGAAAGTGCTTGATGATAAAACAATTAATTGAGACTTTGATAAACACCCTGTTGTGTACACAGTGTTGCTTATGATCCTTTGGCTCATGAAATTTTACTGAATACGCTACTTTACCTACTTTGCATTTTAGGCACAGTAATAAATTGAGCATTTGAATGAGTGTGAATATTTAGTTGCATTGTATCTGTCTTAGAAGATTTTCCGTTTACTTATGGGGTACCTCAAGGCTCCATACTTGGGTCTGTCCTGTTTATTCTTTAAAGGATTAATTTGGCAGATGTACTTTGTAAATAAAAACACACAACCTCAACATTCTTCCAAATGCAAATGGCATGCAGGTGTATTTATTAGATGATCCTGGATCAGTCATGTCATTACTTCCCTGCATGAATGATATAAATTCATGGATGTGTCAACATTTCATACAATTAAACAACAATGAAGCTGAGATTATGGTAATTGTAAATGAGTTGGTGAATCAAGATGCAGAAATGTGTTCATAATAATTCAATTCTATTCAGTTCAGTTAATTTATATAGTGCCACGTCACAACAGAAGTCATCTCAGGGCACTGTACAAAAGCATTCACATGTATTGTAAAAGGCAGTTAGTAAAAATTATCTGTCTAAGGAAGCCTGCAGATTGTGCTGAATCTTCACTTCATCACAGTTTCCCATCATGAGTAAGCACACTAGCAACAGTGGAAAGGAAAACCTCCCTTAACTTCCAACAGAACCAAACTCAGGATGAGTGGCCATCTGCTTTGACCAGCTGGGGTTTGAGACAACAGGAAGGAGAAACACCTTCTAAAGAATACAACTGAGATCAGAAACCTTGGAGTCATCTTTGATGGCAATCTTAGTTTTAACTTCCACATCAATGAGTGCAAGGCTGCAAATTATCACCTTAGAAATATCTCCAGGGATAAAAACATGCTCAGTAAAACTGACACTGAAAAGAAGGCACATGCTAATTGTTTCATATAGATATAGAAAACTGTATTTCGTTATTTGCTGGCTTACCAAAAACATCTCACAAATCTGCAGCAAGTTCGGAGCACCAAAATTAAAATGGGAACAGGAAGGAGGCAGCACATCAAGCCAATAAACAAATCCCTCCACAGGTTTCCAGTAAAATTTTGAAGTGCCTTTAAGATTTTATCAATTTTAAACAGTCTTCAACAGTTTCACCCCCTTCACCACATATCATTGTGTCATTATTCCTCCTGACAGTTTATTAAGACTTTCCAAATGATCATCAGTGATGCCTAAGACTCAGATCAGACGAGAGGGAGCTGCTTTCAGTGATTTTGGCTCCAAGATAAACTCAGAAAGCTGCTGACTCAGGTTAAAAAGGGTCTTAAGACTTTTTCCTTTTACTGGTGCTTTTAACTAATATTGCTTTTTTCACTGTATCTTTTACAGGACTATTTATTGTTGCTTTTAGTCAGAGAGTAGAGTTTTATTTATTTATTTATTTTGGCAGGTGTGGTATTGTGTAATAATTTGCCTTTTTGTAAAGCACTTTGTATGCATTTGCTGTTATTTGACCTATGCAAATGTTTTACTAAAATCCATCCATCCATTCATTCATTTTCTTACCATGCTTTTCTCTCCCAAGTCATGAAGTAGCTGATGCCTATATCCAGCTTTTTACAAATGTTATTTACAAACAAAATACATATTTTTACAGTAAGACTCATATACATTAACATCTGATTATATTAAACTGCCTGATATTTCAAGCAAGAAGTTGTCAGATTCATACCATAAAAAAATACACATGAATCGCTGCTTTAATTTGCGTGCGAGTTGATTTCTTAAATATTTAACAAGCCATAAGTGCAACTACATTTGGTTACTTATTGAATTATTTTATAATTTCTGAAAAGGTGTTAGTGTTATAAAATCTATGTTGTGATTTTTCAGAACATAATTAAAACAAGTGTTTAAGTGTAATTTGACTCTTTAGAAAACACATGAAAAAAAAGGAAAATTTGGTCCAAAACTGAGGAAAACTGTCTAATTAAAGCTTTTCTGTCAGTTTAATCTCAAAATCTCTAATCAAAAAGACACTATAGACTTTAACTCATAAAATGGCATCAGAGAAAGTGACAGATTTTTTTTTTTTTGGAGGGTTTGAAACACAAAAGAATTTATCTGACTGAACGTGCCAAAAACAATAAAGTCTGTTTGCCCAACATTCCTTGTCTTTCTCTTCTTGTTTGCCTCAGATCCACAGAACAATTGGAGGAAATATGGATGAGCTCCTTATTTTCCCTGAGGGTTCAGAAACCTAAACTCTGCACGTCAGGGGCACACAAAACAGATTTAAAACCCATCAATAAAAAGATTTATCAGGCTAAACTGTGCGGCTTTAGCTTGTACCAATATTCAGACATCAGAGTTTCCAAAAACAAACGCTTTTTTTTTCCCCCTCACAAAACAAAAAGTTTGAAAATTGCCACTCACTTGATAATTCAGTAAAGCTCATCTCCAACACCCACAGAATCGTCATGGTTTGTATAATCCTCATGATGATCCTCATGGTTTTCTCACTAAAGTCGGACTTTCAGAACTCCACACCTAAACCGGTGGTGCCGCTGCGTCTCCACGATGCGCCTTTTTACGCATAACGTCCTCCAAATCGTGGGGTCAGGTTTAACAAATCTGATCAGCAACGAAGCCAGTTGTAGGAGATGGTATCACACAGTTGTCACACTGAAGTCAGTTTGAGCTGCGGAGAAAGCTCAGCCTCCTCTGGGTGGGAAAGGAAGGAAGAGCGTCAGCAGACAGCGGACTGCTGGCGCGCCAGACCTCCCCGAATGCGCTTCTGTACCGGTTCGATCCAAACAACTCCACCGATTGACTCTGTAGATAGAATAATAGATTTTAAAACACATACTCATTTAAAAAGCTAATGAGTTATATTTGAATCAATTTTCTGTGACGGACTGAAAAGAAAACCCAAAATAACACGAGATTTAAGAACAACAAAAGTCGCACCTGACAAACTTAATGGCGCCACTTTACAAGAATATGCCTGTTTTCTGTAGTATTAATTAAGTTTTAAACACTTAAAACTGTTAAAAATGCAATTAGAGTGCAAAAAATACTACACAATACTGACTCGTTTCTTACCAAAGAGGAAGCCAACTTTTATCTGTAGTACTTTCTTTATTTTTAACTTTTGTTCTTTGTAATTTAGATTTTAAATGCCAAACACTTGTCTGGAGGTTTCTTGTAAACACCAAGCGTTTTCAGATAAGTTTCTTTTGGCAAATGAAGTTGCATCAAAAATAAACTGAGCTACTAAAGAAATGTGTTTATCTGAATGAATAAAAAGTAAATTGATAAACACATAAATATCAATGAATCATTGATAAAGTCTTTATAAAGAGAATAAGAGTTGTAAAGTTATACAACTACCAGAAGATATCCATCTATCCATCCATCCATCCATCCATCCATCCATCCATCATCTTTACCTGCTTCTTTCTTTCCAGGTCACAGGGGTCACTGGTGCCCATATCCAGCCATCACTGTGTGAGAAGCAGGGGACACTCTGGACAGATCTCCAGCCCATCATAGGGACACATAGAGACAAACAAGACAAACAACCATTCACTCTTTCACTCTCACCTAGCAGGGACAGTTTAGAGTTACCAATCAGCCTAACATGCATGTTTTTTGGCTGTTGGAGGAAACCGGAGTACACGGAGAAAACCCACTCATGCGTGGCGTTAACATGCAAACTCTACCCAGAAAGGCCCCTGGCTGGGATTCGATCTGACCACCTTCTCGCTGAGAGGTAACAGCTCTACTAACTGCACCACCATGCCACCCACCAGAAGTTAATATTTAAGAAAATAAATCAGTCACACCGACTCTGACATGCTCACACAGACACAAGCAAAAACATTATCATGTTTTTCCTCGAGTAGGCAAAACTTGAAATGGCAAGCCTATTCTCCAAGCATCTGTAGTTGTACTACATTGTACTCATTTGTTTCTATTGATGTGAACTGTAGAGGAATTAGAGCAGCAGCCAGAGTCAAGTTTTGCCAAACGCAACAGCTTTGTTCTCTCACTTGGATGAACTGCTTGCAATCCCTGCAGCTTTTATGGTCAGCCAGACTCCCCCCTTTTCCTCTTAATCAGTCACCTCCAGGAAACCATGAACAATATGCTTGTTGTGTCTATTTCTGCCCCAATTTTCACTGTCCTACTATGAAATGTATTGGAAAAACTGTCTTTTCTCATTTTCTCTGCAGAAACTGTTTTGCTGATTCAGTGTTTTTCTCTGTTTCCTTGAGTCTTTAGACAATCGCCTTAAAGTTGAAACAACTTCTTATTGTTCAAGATTTCCTGTTTTCAATTTTGGGGGATCACATGAGTTTCTTTTGCCTGCAAGACACATTCTGTTGTAAGCATCCACAAAACATAAGGACTTAAAAAAAAAAGCCCATGTAGGCGTGTTAATAATGTCATACTCACTCAACATCAAGTTGTTTCACCAGTTAAAAATGTGTCAAGATTATATATATATATTTTTTTTTTTTTTTTGTTTGTTTGTTTGTTTTAATAAGTTAAGAAAAGAAAGTGGAAGTTAAATTGAAATGTGAAAATAGGTGCACCTGGATTTCTTCTTACTTTATGCACTATGTGGTCAGATTCCTGTTTGTTTGCTTTTTCTCCTACTAAGTTCAAGTTCAAGGTTCTTTATAGTCATTCACATTCTCACCACATGTGGTACATGAGGTGGAACGAAACTGTGTACACAGGGTCCCATCAGTTACATCCAACAATAGCAAAAACATAAACTGTAAAAGAAAAACAGTACTAAGGGTCTAAGATGTAAACTAAGAAAGACACTAAAGAAATACGCTAAACACTTAAAAGTGCAAAACGCTGAACAACAGCAGCACAAACATGAGTCTGTGTGAGTAGCTGAATAAGAATGAACACAGCAGCATGAAATAACATGAGCATGTCCTTTGAGTGGGAGTACTGGTTTCCTCTCAGCTGTTCCATATGATGGCTGATTGCCATTCCTAAGCCCGTTTGCCTGCACTGCAACTCTGTTCTACTAATGAACGTCTTACCTGTGATTTACTCCTTGAGACTTGGACCTGGAATCCTAAACTTGCTTCCCCTGAACCTAGAACACAACCAGTAAAAACCTCCTTCATAAATATTAAGGATTGTGATCTACTACCATACGTGAATATCACTAACTCACCATTTGTTTTCTGCGAATCATCCTGCCTCTGGTTATCCATTGCTCTCCACACAATACAACTATGTTACTTTAACTTTGTCTCCAGTGAGATGTTACAGTTTTTGGAATTTTGAACCCTGGGACCAAAAATGACCAAAAATGGCCCTATGACTAATATTGCAACTGAAAAGGTTATAACAAACTATTTGTCTTTACATGCATTTTGCACATGCTTTGTTTACGTCCACTGAATGGGTTCTACAATGGGAACAACCCTCTGTTTTCACCTGAGCAGAGTTCAAAGTTTTAACTGCTGCAAAATATAAAACAAATATTATACGCATGAATATGTACCCATGAAATAAAATCAGACTAGCTTTACAAGCTCACTTTCTGCAGTTATAGTGTTTTTATGCAGGATTTTTCCTCATAATTTAGGCGATGAATAGTTGAATCCAAAGTGTGAAGGCAGAGAAGTGTTGCATGCTTGGTGGAGCCTGCATGGGAAGCCAAAAAGGAAAAGACTTGAGGCTAGGTCAACACAGATGTTTCAGCCTCTGGTTACATAGAATCTGCCTGGAGTCAAATAAAAAAGGTATAAACGCTTGTGTGTGTGTGAGCATAAAAACTATATGTGTGTCTGTAAGTGACGGCTTCCTGCAGAGAGAGGGGCAACAGATTTAGTGCACATAATGCATATGTGTGTACAAAATTTAATGACTATATGTGTTTAAATGCATAGGAAATGGTTCTCGTTGAGTGGACATGCAGGGTGGAGGGGTGCATCACTCACACATTAACTATTGTATCCATTAATATTTGTTGTCCAGCAGTGATTATGGTTGTTATTGATAGACATTTGCCTAATGGCTGAACCGCAATGCTCTGCCCTGACGAAGTTCAAAAATGATGCAGACACACAAAGCCCAACAACAAAACAACAAAAACTCGTGCGAAGCTAGTAAAGTACTGTGCAAAACTCTTGGGTCATCCCTCATTTCTTTACACTTTGCTTCCAAGGAACCATACTGTTGCATAATCACTAATAGCCCTGGGTCTTTATGTATTTATTTATTGGTTTGTTTGTTGGTTTATTTATTTGGGGGTAGAGGCAGGGCAGCCGACGGGACCAGAATGCCGCGGTTCGACTCCACGTCATTCACACATGTCGTGGTGTCTCTGAGCAAGACAACCAATCCCCAATTGCTCCCTGTGCACTTGCATAGCTGCCCACTGCTCCACCTGGGTGTATCCCACGTGTGATGGGTTACATAGAGAACTATTTTTGCCATTGTATGGGAACATACACTGGTGACACCACATAGCACTATATTTTGTTTATTTATTTACTTATTTTTCAATCTTTCAGGACGTCTTTCAAAGATTGTCCTTGAAAACGTATTGATTGTTTTAGTCCTTTTATTTCATTTTCTGATTGATTTTAAATCATTTTCATTCAACTTTTATTTATACAGGTTAGTCTCATTGAGCCTCGAGGACTCATTTACAAGAGAGACCTTTTTTAAACAAAGAATGCTGATGACAACAATGACAGCAGTAGACAATCAAAAAAAGAAAGCATATGAATTGAAAAAATTAATGGAAGAAAATTATATTTTAAAAAATAAACAAAAACAGCTACATTGTAAAGCGATGTAGAAAAATTAAAACAGGAACATGTCTGCATTGTTTTTTTGCCATGAACTTAATAGTTGTTTGAAGCCACTTAGAGAGGTCAAGGTCGAGAGCTTCAGAAGTTTTTGCAAGGAGTTCCAGGAAACAGGAGTGTAGTAGGAGAACGCCCTTTTGCCACGTTCAGCCCGCACTGAGGTAACACTGCAGGTAATAATGTCCTAAGAGTGCACGCTGTAGCTGCACTCATGAAGTGACATAGGAGAAGATGTAAGAAGGCAACAGACCAAGAAGTGATTTAAAGATGAAGTGAGAGAGTCTGTGTGAAGTTAATCATGTCCAGTTAACCAGTGGGTGCAATGGTGGGTATGGTAATTACAGCCAGTTATGATTCTTAGCGCACCATGATAGATTTTGTTTGCTTTTGTTGAGGCACTTACATTAGAGCCATGAATAATCCAGAAAAAAAGGCTCCGAAATACATGAAATTAACAAGATTGCCAACATATAGCAAATATATATATATATATATATATATATACACAAGTATAATGTCTATCCTCTAGTTATTTTATTTTGTTTTTCCAAATTCCATTTGGAAAACTTAATATTGATATCAGGGGAATTGTGGAGAAAAGCTATCTTAATTGCCACCAAGCAAGTTGCAGCAGCACTCTCATGTTTT